CGTTTCGCGCCGAGTTACCACTGGGCCGCAAAATTCGGACACTGTGAATATGGGAGAATGGTACCCAAAACATTCTATTGAGCCATCTATTAGACAAATATCAGCCACGCCTGCGCTTCAACTTGTACGGCATTGTTTATTGAGTCTCGGCCCATCTCTTTGCCCCTCACTGGTTCAAAGATGGCTTGGATCACCACGACCGTTAAATCATCCCATCAGAGGTGAGGGATTAATTAACCGGATCGAGGTATAGTGTCTGTTTGTTCAAACATGATTGTTCCAAAGGTTCATCGCCTTTCGGATTGGATTCCACAACAAGGCCTTGTTTCCAGATTAAATTCTCCCAATGCCAGACTACTTGCCTCAAAATCGAGGAGCATTTGAGTTATATCTTGATCTCATGCAAGTGAATGACAAATTTCGCGCCATACTGACTTCCTCCAGAGCTCCTATGCTTCCAGATCCGAGTGTGTAGAGTGTATGTACTCGTGCTCTCAAAAAGTGTTGGCGTATGGGTTTTCTGGCATTTCTCAGTGATGAGAGCATAATTTTGGACAATTCCGAATGTCAGATGGTTCAGTGGATAAAGGCACATATTTTAGAGACATTGATGGCATCGAAATATTACGACGTGTCAATGAACTAGAGGAAACACTGAAAACCCAATTTTTCAAGTCATTCAGATATTTTTTTCAGAAAAATGTAAATCACCCATATTATAGCCTGAGATGTGACATTGCATCTGCCACTTTGAATCATGCAAAAATATACAGGGGATCAGGTGCTATGGCAGCTGAAAAGTGGGAATTTTAGCTGATTTTGGCAATTTTCTGCAATTTTTGCCACTTTGTGGCTGCCATAGCACCTGATCCTCTGTATATTTTTGCATGATTCAAAGTGGCAGATGCAATTTCACATCTCAGGCTATAATATGGGTGATTTACATTTTTCTAAAAAAAATATCTGAATGACTTGAAAAATTGGGTTTTCAGTGTTTCCTCTAGTTCATTGACACATCGTAATATTTTGATGCCATCAATGTCTCTAAAATATGTGCCTTTATCCACTGAACCATCTGACATTCGGAATTGTCCAAAAATATGTTCTCATCACTGAGAAATGCCAGAAAACCCATACGCCAACACTTTTTGAGAGCACGAGTATATCCTACATCTAAGTGCATTTCTCCAATATATAACCAGGATTTCAACACACGTGCCACTTCCCATGCCCCAGTATGTTCGCTTCAGACCAAGTACCATACATTGGGGTGAGCTCAATGTACCTTGATACTATCATTTTTTGAGTATCATTCAATTCAAGGCTGAATTACGTGCCGTCCGAGAGTATATTTACTTGCCAGTGAGACGACTCGGATTGCGGTTTTGGATCGAAATTTAACTCCCAGCCGTGAAGGTCGCACTAAAATGCTACTTTGAAGTCCGGCGCAATGTTCTTTGGATGAAGGAAACACTTGTCCTCCCCGAACCTCATCAGGTGTGAACACCAGTTTGAATAGAGGATTCCCCGAAGTAAGCAATGGCTATTTTCTTACTTGACCATCTCAGTGCCTGTGCCTCATATTCAGCGTAAGACGTAGAAATTGCAGTTTGGTGGCTCTGTTCACCCTCTCTTATGGGAGTATGTGGTTTGAGAGGAGAAGTGTCAGTTTTCATAAATATGTTGCACTTGCTGCATGTATAGCCATGAATCCGAATCCACGGTGTAAATGGTAAGCAAAAACTGGGAAATCATCGGGATTTTGCCTTTCACCCAATCCCTAGATTCAGGAAGCATTTGTTGGTGGAAAGAAATAAAAGCTGGGGTATTGTGCTGAGTTCAATTTAGCGCCAGCCTCGGCATCTCGGTCTTATGGGTGACATCAAATCGAGCAGCCATTGAACACTGGGAGAGCTTTACATGCCAAAAGCGCGCACTTTGTGTGTCCAAGTTTTGTTGCCCATATACGGAACATGAAATAGGCTGGTCTACCTTTCTGTGAGTAATAACTCCTGTAAAATGCTCAGTTTACATCGAGTACAATTTGGCAAGGCTAAGCAGTCTGTAGCGGGCTCTGATGTGAAATTCAACTTTTTGTGGTCACATTGAGCTCGAAGCTTTGAGTCTTCAAGCTTCAAGAGGTGATGTCTTCAGCGGAGATGTCGAGGCAAGGTTGTGGTTTAACTGGTTGGAGACAAAAGACGAAGTAAGGTTAGATCCGAGGTCATACTTAAGTTGAGTACCCACAATGTCTTGGCCGATCAACCGCTGCCCTGAAACTGATCCGATATTGTTCTTCCCATTCTGCGAGCTGGGGTTCGAGCTTGTTGTTCTTCTTGTTGGTCTTTCTGGCTCTTTCTGGTTTCTGCAGATGGCACATTTATGGTGTATTCATAGCTGCTGCTTCAAGCTTTTCAAACTTCGTTGACCACAATTCTCCGGCACATTTCGTAGCACGCCCTCAAACTGCTGCACTGAGCGCTATTATGGAATATCTTCTGCCAAAGGCTACGGAAATCGATCGGGAAACATGTATAGTGGTTTAAAAGTGCTTACAACAAGTGCTTAGGCTTCCATTTCTTTGCTTCTATGCACATAACCCACGACGGTTGAGCACGAGAAGCAATTAAAGCGACAACAAAAGCCTAGATACCAACTCCTTTGTCCATTGGTGTGCTCCCAGAGTTCGAAAAAGCGATTTAACGTTGGATACAGAAGGTGGGTCTGGACTTGCAAACTCCTGGACTTTGGACTGGACTCAGTTCACGGTTCACCGCAGTTTGCTCCAGGTTCGAACCTATTTTTTGTTCCCACAACTCAAATCACTCAATTTCTGTTCAAAATGTCGTCAGCATGCAAATTTTTCCTTCTGCCAAGCATAAAACTCTTCCAAAGCTCCAGACGATACCCAATTCTTTATAACTGGCGGACTTACGTTTATTGATGGTAGTTTGATGGGATTGTCTTCTCCTCTGTGTTTCTGGATCCTAGAATCCCCCCAAAAAATGGCTAAGTAATCGGTGTTTACAGATGTTTAGAGTGGGTGGGGAGCCTACTCGAGCAAACATACCCTTTGATGGTACTTCTTCAAGATTCTTTTTGCTCCCAGGTCCAGTTCAGATTCAGGCAGGTTCGGCGAGGTTCGGTGGTATCTGACCCTTGAACTGCATTTGAGGTTCTGTCCAGTGAGCCTCACAGACACTGCACCGGACTTTTGGTCCGGTTTGGGTTCTTAGCCCGCGGTTCAAAACCTGACTGTGGAAACACTATGCGGTGTGTACCCCCTTGCATTATTCATCGAAAAGGTTCTTCAGGTTCTCATTATTATTGCTCTGGTTCGACGAACCCGCCAGTAGGGTTTGCAGCTGAATCATATGTATTCCATCGATTCGTGGGATCCCTCACTTATTCCGCATCTGAACTCATCAGTCTGTCTGAGCATTTACTGGCATTTTTGTTCTAGAAGGATTAATCCAGTCCTTCATTCGGACACAAATTTGCAATTGTAAAGCACTCCTACTAGGGCCAGGCTAACTTTAATCGGCAGATTCTCAATGCATCTCTCAGTTTGTCTGAATTATGACCTTTTTTTGCCGACCGTTTGGGTCAGGAGAATCCTGCTGGTTTTCTATGTACATGTGCACTCCTTTTGTTCCTATCTTCCATCCAGAGGAACTGAATTACCGCACTTTTAAATCAGCTGGCATTGGTCCCCGAGACTTTTCTGGCTGATACCTTGGCCTTCTGTTATATTGACCCGAAGTCCTCCACATTCTATGTTCTATCCTAGCATCTCTCGGAAATGTAGCACTAACCTTGAGATTTGCACATTACGAACCCGCACCGCACGTGTGACTGAGATTGAAGTGAGTTCCGCCACTCTCCAAGTGTTGCCGCTCCCTAGCAGCCAGCAAAACTGCAGTTGTTCCTCAATTTGATAATGTGATGGCAGTATTGTACCACTGCGGCAGCAGAGTTCAACCAGCTTTGCAGGAAGTTGCAGTTCACGGGGCAAAGCCGTCTCATCTCGCCGGTTCCGTTTCAATTGATCCATTCCCCAGGTGCAGATAATTGGTGGATGAGTGCCATTTTCGTAGCCTCGCACATGCTTTGCTCAAGATATTGCACAGGCTCACATGTTATTCCCTTTACTTACGTCAAAAAGAAAGGAACAAAGGAAAGTCGGAAATAAGCTAACCAGATTTTCCTAAAACATGGGTGACAAGAAAATGCTATACGTGACCATTCTCGGTGACGCGACGCGAAACGAAAGTGCAACCACATTCCCGAAAAGGAAATGGCTGTGCTGATCATCCACGTTTGTTGAGTTTTAAGTTGGTTTTAAGCCCACTTGCCCAGAATGAACTGGTGTTTAGCCGAATGAATAATCCCGACTCAAAGAATGTACACCATCACTTTCTCCTCTGAAGATAGCTATGGTACACCCTCATCCACATTTCTGACATGTGTCTGGGGTCCTGCCACCCTAATGGGCCATTTCTGACCGCCAATCACGCCTGCCGAAGTTCCGGCGCGGAAATACGAAGCTGTCCAGTCCCTGTTGCCATAGTCAACGACGGGCGTATACGCACGAAACGCGAGCTGCGCGGTAAATTTCGGACTCTGGCAGAAACACCGGAGCTAAAACATGTGTACAGGTACTTGGAAGACGCCAATGGCTATGCATTGGAAAGTTGGAGGAATGACGGGCAAGATCTTCCAACAGTTAAAAGCGTACCGTGTAGATGCTGGTGAGTCTGCCCCGCATCGAAATGGAACTCTCTGGGGCTCGCGTTGTTCACCGACCCTCCCCACCGCCAAATGGAGAGCAGAGCAAAGTGTGGAATAGAGGTTTCGAAGGGAAGAAGACAGGACGCGTCGCACGATACACGGTGGTCCGTGCGTTAGTGATGTCAGTTTGATGAAGGATTTCATTTCAGGCACTTGAAATTTTGAACCATCGGTCTCATCCCTCGCTGTTTCCTCGCCATACTTTCGTGTACAGTATGGTGTAGCGGTAACATCGGTGCCTTTCAGAAAAAGACGAAACATCGACCGCACTAGCCCGGCTTCGACTCCCCGTACTGGAATAGAAAAACAATTTGCGGTTTTTACGCTTGCAATATTCCATGTATCTTGCGATCGCCTAGTCTCGCAGACAGGCTTCAATATTTTTTGATCTCGTTCCTCGATAGTGATTGACATTAAACAGCAAAGAACCAAATCATTGTGAACTTGGGAACTTTGGCACAATGTTGCTGAGTATCTTGAAGTCCAGCTGGCGTCTCTCCTATGTTAATGTCCTTGAACTTTGATTCAAATAAATGTGTGTTTTTAGCTGGTGGGGCAACTACGGAGGCATGCCCGGTCCCCAGTGGTCATATCAGTCTCCCAGGGTGAATGATACCTGCGGTTGAAGGATTATGCGTGTCTCGGCGCAAACAGACCGTAAGTATCTGAGTTTCTTGTTGAGCCGTCTCTTCATCTGACCACTTGGCTGAACTTCCGAGTCACCGCCTCCAAAAAATAGCACAATCACCGCAGATGCGAATTCACTTTTCGTGAACGTTTCCTCGGACCTCGCCAAGCACATGATTTCTATTGCAGAAACAACGACACTGACCATTCCCTTTACAGCTTTCCCTTTATCTCCTCGTACACGGCCTGCATTTCTTCTTTGCCCAGGGGCTTCGCAGGCCATCCGACAATAAGGCCCTCTTCTGCGGAGGGTTTCGGGATAATGTGAAAGTGAACGTGGTCGACCTCCTGCCGTCACGAAATGGATTGAATTGGAAATACTGGGGGGTCGAATCGGACATACCTGATGCGCGAGACGCCCATTGTTCTGCAGGACGTTGTAGTTCTCTGCACCCTGCGCGATGGCGATCTTCTTCGCGATCGGCAGAGCGTCTGCCAAATATTCATCTGGAAGCTGGTGCAGCTTCTCCGCGTGGCCTGAAAAACGCAGAATAAGCCAGATGCAGGTGGGTGAGAAAATTCAACTGACGTTTGGGGATCACCTTCATCGAACAGAGATACAATTAGACACGGAAAAATGCTTGCAAAGCAAGCATCACCAGAGCATGGCCCTTTGACAACGGGCCGATGTCCAAAAACGAGAAGCTGAGGCTGCTGTTTCAGCGAAGAACCATGCGTTGTGATCAGTTCCTCACGATAACTCGGTTTCGATGAGCTTGAAGCTCGGTATTTCGCCTACAAGGTCACCGATTGAGAACGACGCCGATACTTGAATTTAGGGACGCGCCTTTGATGATTTTACAGAATAGACACGTCGCCAGATTCCTGAGCTAAAAATTCAGACAGCGTTTTGTGCAAGTCGAACCAACGAACGTACTTTGCTGCCATGATGGATCAGAGCAAGATACACCTGTTTGCGTGTGTTGTATTTCTGACCTCGATGGGGAGGCTGTAGCACGTGCTGCTTCTTGTCGCTTGCCACCATGGTCCTGTTTTTCACTTCAACGGGCAAGCTGCTTACTTCTCGGGTTATGCAATAACTGACTTGATCCAGTCGTAAACCCCCCCATAACCTTGTATATGGGCCGCGATAAGGTTGAGAGTAGGTATTCATCGAACACTGGCTCCGTTTTCAGTCGCTGGGCTTCCGGATTCATGAAGGCTGGAAAGATCACATTAGCTCTGTCCCCCTGCTGCTACCGTCTTCTTTTTCCACTTGCGGAAGGATCAGTCTCTCTTTCCTGCCTATATATATTTTTTGGATTAACTGCTAATCGAGGCTCTAGATGAGGACTTGATCAAATATGCGTATCCCGGGGATGTGTGGTTTCATGTCGACAAACTCTCCTCTGCGCACGTCTACGTGCGCCTTCCGGAAGACGGCTCCATGACTTGGGACGCAATCCCTGAAGCCCTCCTGAACGACTGCGCTCAACTGGTCAAAGCCAACTCGATCGAGGGTGCTCCGTCCCTGCCTGTATCGCCGATAAATAAGTCTCAACTGTGATGGTAGGTAACAAGAAGGACAACCTCACGATCATATACACGCCTGCAGACAACCTGAAGGTTTGTTTGTTTGCTGCTTGATTCAGTGGTTAATCCGGTTCAAAATTTCTGCGTTAGAAAACGGGAGACATGGCGGTCGGGCAAGTCTCCTTCCACAGTGACAAGAAGGTTCGCCATCCCATTAGATCTTTATGGTAATTCAACTCTTTGCAGGTTAAACGAGGTATGACGATTGGCGGAACAGGCGGATTCCCGTTCATTGATCAGCACAGTACATGTCCCGCAACGCGAAAATGCTATCGTGAACCGTTTTGAACAAGACCAAGAACGAACGTGTTGTAGACCATGAACAGGAACGGGTCGACCGCCAAAAGCGCGAGGCGACTGTGCGTCGCGCCGCCGCCGCCGAGAAGGTAGGCTAGCTCAGCCATCCCGGACATGCAGAGTATGTCTGACTTGCCTCGGCCCCAGAAAAAAGCGGATATGGAGCTTGCGCGCACTCGGGAGGCCGAGAAAGCCGCACGATCTTACGACTCTCTGTTCAATGTAGATCCGGAAGAATATGGCGAGGGAAGCGAGGCCAGCAAGAAAACTGCGAGAGAGCTGGAGGAGGATTTCATGTAACGTATGGATAGATTTTCTCAGGTTTTGAGTCTGTTTGATATAAGATTTCCTTGATTTTTGATTTTTTTTCACGCGCACCTTGCGGGAAAGGGTATCTTCTTCACACAACGAGTAAGTCGTGTTCCGATTACCGCGACCTTGGTTCGTATTTACTGCTGCCTATAGACCGAGGACATTCCTCGACGTCATGGGTTCCTTGGCAATGTGTTCTGCGCACAACCTTGTGAACAAGACATATGATGTCCCTGAGACATCGTTTTGGGACGACCAGCTGCTCGCGACCAAGAAACACCAAGTGTACGATTTGAACTGCGCTCTCCCGGATCCTTGATAGCCGCCTTTTTCCAGTTTCGGAACAAACTAGGACCCAGCCATAACTTCCAACACGTAGTGATAACCGTCGCTTTTACCTCTTTGAGACAATGAAGCCGCGATGTTGCACCGTCGACTAGAAATTCAATTTACTGGATTCGTGACAGTTGGTAAGGAATTCTGACTCGGCATTGGTTCGCCTGACATTGTGATTTTTCACGCGAGCGGGAAAGAGCATTTTCTTCACACAAGTAAGTCGTGTTCCGAGGACCGCGACCTTGGTTTCCATTCACTGCCGTCCATAGACCGAAGACATTCCTCGACGTCATGGGTTGCTCAGTAATGTCTTCCGCGCATAACCTTGTGAGCAAGACGTTTGATCCATCCTGTGTTGGGACGACCAGCTGCTCGCGACCAAGAAACACCAAACTGTACGTTTTGAATTACACTCTCCCGGGTCTGTGATAACCGTCGTTTGCCGGTGTCGAACCAACCTTCCTAGGACCTGGCACGACTTCCAACACATGGTAATACTGCTGCTGATAACCGTCGTCTTTACCTCTTTGGGACAACATTTATGTCCCCACTATCGACTAGCAATTCAATTTGCTGGAAGCAACGTGGATTTGCAGTCAATGTGGACTTCTGACTCAATAGACGTCGGTAATGCGTTCGCCTTTCGGCACAGGATTCTTCTGCTTGTATGCACACGAATTCGATCCCACGCCAGTCTTCCTTCCGAACGGCTGACAAACGAATGAACGGAGGACCTGATGCATATTCAGGAGGGCCGTAATATTCTCCCAGCCTGCGCAGATTTCTGCGCTCACGCGAGTCTAAAAACTGGGGGATGTGTCAACGACGCCACACCCACACTCACACTCGTCGGCTAAAGCAGACGACTTGCGCCAGTGTGGCGCGAGTGAAAGGAGGTGCGCCATTCTCGCGTAAACATGAGATCACCATGCTGATCTAGTCTCTCGTAGACAGACGCTCTATACGTACCAAGCTCGTACCTCGCTGTAATGCTGATCTGATCTCAATTTCATTTCTTTCTTCCTGCTCTCCTCCTGCCGTTATACTAGCCACCAGGGACGACATCTAGCTGCCTGCCATCGCTTTCGACAGCTCAGCACGACGGAGAGTGGGGATCTCGGGCGATTATTGGGTTGAGACCGTGCTAAAAGGTGTGTGTCCACTCCTCACCGATTCAATTGCCTGCTCATGCCCGGTCCTCCTCACACCTACACATACGCAGAAAAGGTGCGTTTTTACGCGCTTACGTCTGGACCGGTCGCTCATTTGATCCATGCATGCCCGTCCGAACCTCCTCTCCCCTCGTACCTTCTCCGGAAGCGTGGTGGGGAGCGATTTTGCCTGCGACCACGCAAAACTATCAGGCTCGATCTGGGCGAAGCGTGCAGGGTGTTCTTACTAGTAGCAGAGCTTGCGTGCCGGAATGTGCCGGATGTGAACATGCGCAGAATGCAGGTGTCGCGCACTCAACACGCGATCATTTCGGGGGGAGGGCGACGCACTGCAGCGCATGTGAGCGCGTGCATCCGCACTGTGACCTAGTTGTGCGCTCTGGCGGGGAAGTACTATTAACCACTTCAATACATTATATAGTACAGCACGTCGTTTTTAATACCACCCGTTTGCATCCAAATTTGTCGGGGTCTCATACCAATAAACTCTCTGTTCAATTGTTCACTGTACGCCGTTAATTATTGCTTCTTGATGGACTCAAACCTCGGCGGGGGGACCAGCCGACAGTGGTGCAAGTCGCGTTCAAGTGCGCCACAGTGGCGCGAGTTGGTGGATCGACATTGGTGAGTCTGAGTGTGGGTGTGGCGCAGTTGGTTGGTCCCCTAAAAACTGCGGTGGTCTTGGCGATTCTACTTCTTTCAGGCGATAACATCGTCTTTGCACTCTCGGTACCAATCAAACTCTCATGGAACTCTCCAAATAAAACAATTTTTTAGGACAATATGAAATTGACCGTGGGTCCCGCCTGGCTCTTCCCATCATCGAGCCGCGGCCCCATGCCAATCATTTAGACAGTGGTGTAATAATCCCTATTCAAGGTTTGACGCGCATGAGGTCGCTTTACACCTGGCGTGATCGGCAGGCTTCAACAACGGCGCTCCGTGTACGACACCCCTTTCAA